ATGCATGTACTTTTATATAGATACTAGTCAAACAGATCTTTAATAACTCTTTAGGCTAAAAGCTTTGTAATTCCTTGTAATTCCTTTTCCTAGTCCTGATAATTTGTGTCAAGTAACTGAGTGTAATGAATCAGTTTTTTTTATTCTGTAGATGTGAGAGTTTGTCATTGTAATGACCTAGACCTATAATGTATTCTAATCTCTGTCACTTTTGCTTTAATGTTTGATTACTTCTTCTTTGCCTGCCTGTAGATTTCGTCAGCAGCAGGAGTAAGGGTAAGGTGTATCTTTATAAAAAAAAAGCCAAGTGTTTTTATTTTATCTCAGCTGATGAGGATGAAGCACCAAGGGATGTAGTTCAGTACACATAACTAGAAACTCAAAAATTTATACATACTGATATATGTACAGGACAGTGAAGAGGAGGAATGGTAATTCAAATACAAAGATTACAGCAATTTGCCAAGTACTGTCTAATAAGTAAATACATGCATGTGGGCGGCACACATATACTTGCTGTCAATTTATAGAATAATGATGAAAAGGTTTTAAGAAACTACCATATCCCATTGGTTCTCCAGATTTGCCTCTGAGCTAAAAGGGACTTCACTGTAGCTTTGTCACAAGTAAATACCTGGCACTATGTGTTCTATTAATTTACTTTATTTTGTTTTATAACTCTTATGTTGATAATCTTCTTCAGTTGCTTCATGATGAAAACATGTAACATATGTAATATGATTACAAAGTAGTTTGCATGACTGGTTTAATTACATGCTGGACAAGCAGCTTCTCATGTAAGTCAGTAAAAGTTTCAGAAATATACTGTATGCTAGGAATCTATACTACATCAGTACTTATATTCTGACCCTAGATCAGAGACCTCTTTTAGAGTTTGGCTTCTAGGAGGTACTTCAAATACTTTGAAAACTGCATTATTTCTATTTTTTATAATTCCTCTTTTAATATTCCATTGTTTGTGATATACAACTTTTCACTGTATCTTTGTACCGACATTAGGTTTGCTTTCATTAACATTTACAGAAATGAGATTCTGTATCTCTTCAGTTCTTTTGAAATTCTTAAAAGAGTAATGAGAAGCAGGGATTTCACCATGGGAGGGAGAGGAATACCAAGTGGCTATACTCCTCAGTTTCCGCCATTTTTTGCCACCTGTTGGGACTCATTTTTAAAAAAGGAGTGTCCTTAAGGAGTTTCCCTCACCGCCGGATTTTTCCTGGTGAAACCTTTTATAAGGAGACACATGGAAAAGCCTTATTTATATCTTAATCTCATTCCAACAATACAAGAAGAAAGTAAATGATACCACTCTTTATCCGAATGCCTTCCAAACTTAGATACAGCTTGAACTTGATGCAGAATTAAGTGATGGTTTTATGATATCTGCCTCACCTGGTATTCCTGTTTGAAATGAGCAATATATTGGATGTGTGGAATGCATTAATACTTTGATTTCCTTGCATGCTTATTTTGAGATTTTCATAGAATTCATAGTTTCCGTGTAGTGGACAGGAATAAGACACGCCAATTGGATGATATTATGATGGATAATATTTTGTTTGATAGATGTCATAGTCATAACATTTAGCATTTTTTTGTTCCATTTCATATCATGACAGTATTGAAAATAATGTCATGATCATCAATATGTTCTTATTCTTTCATTATTATTGTTATATAAGTTTTTTTTCATAATTAGAAAAAAAACGATGATGATGATGTTAATGGTAATGATAATAATATTATGATATAGAACAATAATGATTTATAATAACAATGATGATAATACAAGTGATAATGATTAATAGAAACAATGATGATAATACAAGTGATAATGATACTACTACTAATAATAATGATGATAATGATAATGATAAAAAAGATAATGATAATAATGATAGTGACAATAGTGAATGACAATAATAATAATGATAATGATAATAGCAATTATGATAATGATAATAATGTTATTGGTATTGTTTTTAATTACTATTAACACTATTATTATTATTATTATTATTATCATATAATAATAATGATAGTAACAATAATGATGATAATGATAATAGCGATAATGATACAACTACTAATGATAGTGATAATGATAGTGAAAAGATAAGAATGATAATAGTGATGATATTATTTATGAATGATAATGATGTTAATAGTGATTATGATGATAATGATAATAGCAATAATAAGAATGGTAATATTATTGTTATTATTATTAATATTATCATTATTATTATTGTTATTATTATTATTATTATTATTATTGTTATTGCTATTGGTATCATTATTACTATTATTATTTTATTATTAACAATGATAATGATAACATTGATATTATGATTATTGTTATTGTTGTTGTTATTATTATTATTACTATTATTATTATTATTATTATTATTATTATTATTATTATTATTATTATTATTGTTATTATTATTATTACTATTATTATTATTATTGTTATCAT